GAGAATCTTTTGGTAAAATCTGTGAACCATACAGTAAATAATTCATTTTCGAAATGTCAATCAACTTTTTCATACTTGATTGTTCCTTCGTTTCTACACCGATCATTCTCTGTTCTCGTTCTCTTCTCTTCGATGTTCTTAACCTTTTTTCGCCAAGCATTTCACTTTCAATTGATCATACATACTACTTATATCTGTCAACATCAGTAGACCACGCTACATTTCACGTTTGCAGTTGGCTCTCTAGTATCGTCCAGTAAGTAATTCGTACTTCAGGATTGGCACGTCATTGAAATTATTGAATTACGCAAGGACTTTAATCGATATCTTTATTATTATAGTGGTGAATTTTTATCACCAATGTTTATTGCCAGATCGAATAACTTTTAAAAATTTTATTTACATAAATAACTGCATCTTACAGGAATACTGTTCTAGTGTGTATATGCCATTATTTGTATGCATGATTAATGGTAAAAAACTTGTTTATTTTCTTGATTAATGATAAAATATCACTTTACTTCTGAATACATACATCCTTGAAGTTAATAGGAAACAATGGTCAGATTAAAAAGTTATGGTTAACTCAAACATCCTACATAAATTACGGTAAATTGAGTGTCTAACTTTATGAAGATTACTAATTGGATTACCCCAAAGAATACTCTAGATCGATTCACAATGACGAATCAAATAGAATCGAATGTTCAATGTCTATGTAGTATGGAAAAAATAACATAACCCGAAGTGTTATCTGGTTGATTAATGTAATAATTCCTAAGAAAAAGTGCTTTAAAAATATCAACATTTCTTCAATACATTTAACTTAATGAATCATTCACTTTACCATTTTAGAGTATTTTGATTTATTTTTCAGTTTTAAAAAATAATAGTTTTTAGTTGAAAAATAAGATTTTGAAATTGTCTAAAACATTGTTTTGCCGGAAACAGTACATTTAATTCACAAGTATTCATTTATCGAAGAATAACAAAAACATCAGTTCAAATTTACCCTTTATTGGAATACCTGTCAAGACGTACCGTGTTAATTGAGTATATCTCTACTTATTTTTGTAGAGATTAGTCCTGTTTTTACATTGTGTTCATCATGGATTGAGACTAAATGGGGTATAAAGTAAAAAAGTATATGATTGGACTTCTTCGTGGTTCTTAGTCAGGATCTCTCCAAGGATCAAAACTAAAAATGATAGATCTCGTTGCTAACGTTTGACACCTAAACCGCTGATTTCAAATCCAATTATTTTAACTGTTGGATCGTAAATATACACAACTTTTTCGCAATGATAATCCATAATAATTTAGTAGCAGACTAGCAAAATGGTGGAAAACGTAGGCGTGTTATTCTAATCAGGAGTTTGGAAATAAAGTACTTAAGACGATGAATATAAACCAAAGTACTATTGGGGTTGGATAAAGTCTAACACTGGCTATGTGGAAGCATTTCGAGAGGAAGAGAGAACTCTTCTTATTCTTAGCCACACCACGGTATTCGGGTGCAGTTTTCCCATACCTAATTCGTCAGTTGGTCCATCTAGTTGATGTGCTTAAAGGACCACCTTCGCCATCCCGTCATTTTGTCGGACAATGAAGGAGGTTGCTTCGCAATGACTTTGTAATTGCATAGATTGTTGGACTTTTAGATCTATTTGATTCACGATTTACACCGCATTCTGAATTCTCCTCCTCCAAATTTTAGTTTCATTTATATTATCTATGTATAATGCTGGCTGGCACTATACAAACGTACACTGGTCACTATAAGTAACATATACATTATGAGCATAAACGGATGGTGGCAAGTAGTGGAGTCCAGGACGCGCGTCTCATCTTATTTGAGACTCGTCATCTGAATGTACCACATCCCAGAATTGATGTTCATTCGGGAACTCGAATTAACTATCATTCGGGTCCCAAATAGGACGATTCTACTGCATGCTTCCACCTATCTCTGCTTATAATTTCAATTATTGTTACTTCTTAGTTTAACATTGACTATTTGTAGTCAAAAAACAATGCTTTCACCAATATTTATCTATTTATTAATCTAATCACATTAACAACGCTGAAATTTTATCAACTGGACGCAAATATAAAGTATTTTAGTTATTATTACTACTATAATTAGTATTGGTATAAGTAGTATTAGTAGTAGTGTTGTGTATCCTACTTACGACAACAGACATAAGTAGCATGTAACACCAGTTGAAAGTGGAAAACCTGGCAGCAGTAGGCTAAGATCATGTTGAAGAGAATAGAAGGGAAAATAGGAAGAAATTGTGAACTTGAAAATCATACAGAATGTGAGGGACAAGCAAAAGAAAGTTACAAATGAAGTTTCAAGTGTATGGTTTTCATATTTAACGAAGAGATTCTGTAGTGTTGGGTTTTGATACGTTGGTTGTCTCCACCTGTGTTCTCGTTCACAATATTATTAGTAAGAGTAGCAGCAGTAGTAACGTAGTGTGCTACTAATGTCGAAAGATATAAGTAGTATGTGTGATCAATCGAAAGTGAAATACCTGAAGGCAGAAGGTTAAGAAGATTAAAGAAAAGCGAACGAGAAAAGAGAATGATTGGTGTGGAAATGAAGGAATGTGAAGTCTGAGATGGTTGACTGACATTTGCAAAAGGAACAGTCAAATTTGAGACAATCGATTGACATTTTGCAAATTAATTATTTACTGTATGGTTCTCAGATTCTGCTAAGATGTTCTTTAATTTCGTATTCAAATACATTAGATTGTCCCCACTGGTGTTCTCGTTCATTACAGCAATAGTAATAATAATAGTAGAATTAGTTCATGTGGTGTTGAAAATTGTCAATAAGCAAAATATAAATTGTATGATTGATAAATAAAAGATTTTGGTGAGAAGACACATCAAGTTAAATAGCGAAATGTAATTCACATGATAGTTGATCTGATTAATACATTTAAAATAGTAGATTCGTTTTGCTTCTGTTGAAAATATTACTCTTGTAATTTTTTCATTCAGAAATAGTTCCGTTTCTCTTGAACATATAAATGCAGAGAAATCGACGTTGAAGATCAAGTTAAGTATTTCAGAGACATTAGTTAGGTTGATGAGACATTTTTTGTGTGATATTTATTTACTTTGACTGTTTAATATTTCATGTCTGGAATGTAAAATATTTCATTACTGAATGATAAATTAAATCTGTAAATTATTACAGGTAAAATAATGTAACTCAAATGTTTTGTTCTGCTTTATAAATACAAGTGATATCTACTCCTAGATAGATGTTTATGTACTTTTATTGATTTTCTGATATGCTTCAATTATTTTAGTCCATAATGTCTATTCATTGAAAGTCAAGTGAAAATATAATCAGCCCTAGTGAAGGTTACTCAACAGAAATTTATGTAATAGACATTTGTAATGGAAAAATCCTTAAGAATTATCAAGAATTAAGTTGATTATAAACATTGAGATATTTAGTCGTATTACCTCATAAAAAGTTAAACAGATATCGCTTAACTCTTCGTTAAATCTTGAAAAAATTCAGTGAAATACGATACTTTCCGATGCATAACACACAATATGACTATATGCAAGATACTTTCGTTTACATCTCATTAAAATTATGATAAACATTCAGACAACCCAGTATTCAATTTTCGATGTCATTCTAAAGTAATTTTACCTAAAATAAATTTATAACATTACTCGTGTCAATATTTTGCAGAAAAAAAAACTTAATTTAGGCATGTGTATTATGTGCTATATTTGCCAATATTCACAAGTTGAAGGTAAATTTTTAGGAATAACTGTGGCATATTATCTATACTACTCCATAAATAATCAATAGTATAAGGACGAGAATCACTTTTAGGTTAAATGCAGAATGCTGTAGTATTATAAAAAACATGTTAAAAGTGTTCTAATATTTGGCGATTCAAACCACTACGAATGCTTATCTGGCTGATATTGAATGTCAATCTTCAATCCATAGGTCTAATTTTGTCATGGAAAACAAACTAATAAATAAGACCTTTTCTCATCTGATAGTTATCGATATTAAACGATAAGTTGTTTAACATAAGTGTTTGAAGGAAATGTCAATAGTATTCAGCCAAAATATGCAAGCAAGTATTCATTCAGTATACCGAATAGTATTTTCAGCTGAATAATGAACTAAATTGGATAGTATCATCTCAATATATCATTAGCTCACATTTTACTAGTTCGACCGAATGAACAGATGTATTTCTAAAATCCGACTGCTGGGAAAACGTACAAAAACTTTCAGTGTAAAGCTTTTATCATCTAAGATGTCTTCCAACTGATCGCCTATACATTTCTAGGTTGGTATCTTAGTTACTTCAAGAACTGTTGACGACATAATAGAGGGTCAAATATCCAAGATTGTGGATGAGTTTATTTCAAGCAGACATCAGTAACAGACCAATCTCAAGAACTGCGCGAAGATGCGATTGCTAGAAGAAATGTGGGAAATCCTCATTCAATCCTGATCCATACAAAGACAGGAAATGTGCAATTATTAAGAATCTAAAGATGTCTAGAGGTGTACAGAGCGAAGCTACTACATGTTTACTACCGGTCACCTCATCAAAGGTATGTAAAATATACAAGTACGATTGAATAATTGTCATCTAAAGTCGGCTGATACCAATACTTATGAAGATAAATACAAACCAGGAACATTTGGTGATTATAATAAGTGCAACAAATAACATAAATTACCGATTAATAGCTAAGCGGAGATTTATCAGTCAACATGTTCATAAAAACAAATGCAAATATCTGTGAGTTTTTGTTACGTATCTTATGCAAAATGTGAACACGTGCAAGTTCCGGGACCCTTGTGTTACCAAACAACTGATTTTTACAAATGTGCGACGAGATTACCTTACAAAAACGTAAATGTCTGTTCTTCAGACGTACTAATTTACTGTAGAAACTGTACTGACAGAAAAAGCAACGTTGACAAGAATGAACTATATTTTTACAAATTTATGACGAGAAATCCTTTTATTTCGTTTTAACTTCATTTGGGTGATGCTACTATCGTTGAAGTTTCGTTTGCGTAAAATTTTGTCGACTTCATCTGATGTCAAAGGAAGATCATCTGCAATTTGTGAAACGAGTTCTTTCGGTAATCTTTTAAGTGATTTTTGAGACTTTTTAGGTTGACTAACGATCGGAGCACCATCTTCTTTGTTTTTTAGTTTCTTAATAAGTGTATGAGATCTTCGGTGAACAGCTTTAGGAAGACTCGATAATTTTTCACTTATTGTAGTTAAAGGTGCTTCTGTTTCATCGTAGTACAAAGGAATGGAGATACCTGAGCTTTGAATGTAAATAGAACGGATATTTGCCATACCACCACCTGGCCATTCTGAACAGATTTTTTCACACTAAAAAGATAAAGAGGAAATTTAAAAGACTGATGTTTTAAATTAGTGATTGCATGGAAACAATAAAAATGTTAGTTTTCATAATAGTCACACTGATTATAGAACTATTGGGAACTTAGATAGTGATTCATTGAGTAGTTTATAAACGCAGTATTTCATGATCCCACGAAAGTCCTTTTAGCCAGTGATACGTAGAGTCGGAATCAATTATTAAATCCTCTATAATTTGTCAGCTTAAAACATTTCGTCATTGTGGGCTGAAATCAGATAAGGAACTGTTAAAAATCAGGAACCGGCCCTGGCACAACCAAGGGTGGGAAGAGTACTCTCCCTCTAAATGCTCTCACATGGACACGCGTATACAACCACTGCCAGAGAAGTCATACTCACTGCCTTTTCGTGACAGAGATTCTGTTTACGAAATTGAGAGGACGAGAAGCGAATGTCCAGCGCTTTAACCGGGTTGGTGGATATGGAGGATCCATTTAGGGAAGTTGGAAAACCCTGATTTCAAATCAATGGTGTACATGGGCTCCAGGATCCTAAGGGCATAAAAGACGTATGAACCTATTATTGGTCACTGGGTACCATGAAATTGCATTTCCTAACGTTGTGGATTAGACCTTTAGGTCAAAGGATTTGAATGTGGTCTCCTAAGTAAACCACCTGTTTCGGTTTGGGCACCCGGGCAGTATTCCAGCCCTCATACAAACCAAATGATTATTACTACCGGAAAAATTATTCTTGCTTCAACTCGTATTCCGATAAACTCCACTCACAATCATTCGATAATATTCGTTCTTATCGCTTTTATACTACGTCACTTATGTATTCCCCTTTATTCTCATTTTGCACATTTTCTTTTCCAACTTATACAGTGGCTCGCCTATGGTGGATACCCTGTCCTATCTAAACGATCCCAAGTCAATGACTGGTCGAAAAATGAATGCTACTACCGACTACGAATACTGAAAGTCTTTCTCAGACCACGTGCACCATTCGAACTGGCTGCCTTCAACGTCCGCACATTAATGCAGATCGAACAACAGATGAGTTGGTTATGTCTTTAAGAAGTCTTAATATCGATGTCTGCTGTCTATCCGAGACTCGTATTCAAGACTCTAGCGAAGTACTACAAATTCGCTCTCCATTTGTCGCTTCGAAAAGCTTACTTCACGTTCGTTGCGCTGGAGTTGAGGCAGCACTGACCAATTGAATTCCCAGTTGGTTATACACTGATAGACTAAAAAGCTTCACCAAAGTGAGTCGGTGTACGAAACGATTTTTTTTTAACATCTACGCCTACGCCCCGACAGACTGAAGCTCGGATCCTATCAAGGATGAGTTCTACCACTAATTATGTGTTCCCCTACGAAAAGTGTTCGACATATATTGTTGTATTGACCGAAGACTTGAATGGAAAGTTCGGGCATCTAGACACAGAAGTCGTTTGGATGGCTGATTGGGACTTGTTGGTCGCAGGTTAGATAACGGTGACCATCTACTGAAACCGTGAGCAAACTACAACCTGTTTCTGGCTAGCACTAAATAGCGGCACAGACATCGCTGATGTGCTACCTGGCATCCCTTCCTCTGCATCTTAAGCCTGGGCTCAGACTGATCATATCGCAATCACCTATCGCTGGCGTGGTTGTGTACAAGCCTGCCGCTCCTTTTGAAGTAATTATCTGGACCCTAATCGTGCAATGAAATTGGAAAAAACTTGCGTAAGGACCGAGAAGCCTGGTTGTCAGAGCGTGCTAAAAAGCTGGAAGCAGCAGCTGCATCTGGTAACTGCCGGGAACCTTCAACTCACCCGAGCCACTGGCAGCAAGAAGTTTGGTGTGAGTGAGACAATCTGTGAGGATGACGGGATGCCAATCACTAACATCCATCGACGTCTTGGACGATGGGCAGAATTCTTCGAACGGCAGTTCAATTGACCTGCTGCTCCAGCAACATCGATCAGATTGTCCTACCATCCATGGTCTGTGACGACTGACCCGCTTAACAAGACGGAAGTCCACAAGGAACTGCAACTCTTGGAGCGCCACAAATCACCAGGCCCAGATGACTTACCTCTTGCCTTTTACAAAGATCGTGGTGACTTTCTGATCAAGGAACTGAGTGAGCTGTTTACAAAGGTCTGACAATTAGAGAGTGTTTCAGCATCATGGAATAAGTCAGTAGCTGTTCCTATCTTTAAAAAGGGTTTACATCGTTCCTGCAGCAACTATCGGAGTCCAAACTATTGACTTCCATCGTACTTCGTAGATTGTTCAGAACCCGAGAAAGATTGACTCCCGAGGAGCAAGTTTGTTTCCGTTCTGGTCGAGCATGTGTTGATCATATCTTCACCCTCCGCCAAATCTTAGAACACCGTCATACTTATCAAAAGCCAACAATTGTAGTTTCTTGATATTAGGGCTGCCTTTTATTCGTTGAACAGGACTGTTGAAGATTGGTGTGCCTGAGAAGTTTATTAACATCATAAAAGCCCTATATACAAACACCTCAGGTAGAGTGAGGGCATACAACCACCTCTCTCCATTGTTCCATTCAAGCAGTGGGGTTAGACAGAGTTGTCTAATCTCACCATTCCTCTACAACTTTGCTACCGATGACGTTCTGAGAACGGCTTTAGTGGATGTAGGTAGTGTTGGTGTGGATTTGTTGCCTGGAGAAACCTCTCAACCTTGAGTATGCAGATGATATCGTCTTACTGTGCGATCATACCCAAGTCATGCCATCCGCACTCAATCAGTTGGCATATTAATTTCCGTAGGTATGGTATGTGCTTTGCACCTTTTAAGTGCAAAGTACTTTATCAAGACTGGCAGGACCCTGAACCTACACTCACCCTGGGTAGTGAGCACAGAGAAGAAGTCGAGAAGTTCATGAAGCTCGTAGTTGCATAAGTGCTGGTGGTGGTGCGAGTGATGAGATCAATTCGTGTATGGTGAAAGCCAGAGCGGCTTATGCCAATCTGGACCATCTTTGGCGCCTTCGTGATGCCAGTCTAGCTGTAAAATGTCAGGTCTACAACGCGTCGGTGAGAGCAGTTTTGCTCTGTTTGTGAAACATGGATTTTCTGAGTTGAGGATGTTGGACGACTATCTGTGTTTGATCACCGTTGTCTCCGAAGGATTGCTGGCATCCAGTGGCAACACCATTTTAGTAATGCAGAGGTTCGATATTGTGTGTTCAGGCACAGCGACGATAATTCAATTAGTCATTATCCTGAAACATTGACTTTGGTGCCTTAAATATGTCCCACGAATGTTGTCTCAGAGAACTTCATGTCGTGCATTATTTGCCGACACTGGAACTGGTTGAAAAAAGTGGGGAGGCGGTCAGTGTATGACATGATGTCACGGTACGAAAACAAGCTGTATAGGACTGGCTTCTATTGGACCTTTACGACTCCGTGATTGGGTTTCTAGAGATGGTGCAACACAGTAGCTAGAGACGTTATTAGATATGGCTCAGAATAAAAGCCAGTGTCGATGCTGCCGTAACTTTCTTTTACTTTAATAAAAATGAACGTAACTTTTTTGATTGAAAGAATACTTTTTGGTTATACTTTTGTTAACTGAACTGCTTCTCCCATTAGTATTATTATTATTAATTCACTCTAATACACTAATTTCTGTTTGTTGTTGTTCTTTCTTATTATACGCACTTTATCTATTCACAAACTCATCGTTATTGTGGGGGATATGTATTTGGTGCCCCCTTATACTAATGTTTGTGTTCAAATAAATAAATAAATGATTGATAAAATGTAAGACTACTGAGTTGTACTACGGCATAAAAAAAGCCATTATAATTTGTGGACAAAATCAACTAATATGATTTTGACCCCCGCCCATAAGGCATCTTATTTAACGCTAAATATACGTTGAGTCGTTCTAACCGGTACTGGTAACCTGAAATTTTGTTCACCGCAAAAGCTTTTGTAACGTCTGATTACTTTAGTTGTCTTGGTTTGGGGTGACCGAATGACTGAGTTGCACCGAATTAAAGACCCCATAAACAGTGAGCTGTTCCAGTTCACATATGAAACTTTATGAAGGAAATTATTTTGACCCCCCTCCTCATTATGTAGGTTCGTTTACTGTTTTTTGGTATGCAACATCTTCGGTAAGACGAACAAATAAATACCAGTTATTCAGTGATCTTTAAGTAACAATACGTTGGTCACTTAAAAAAGGAATACAGAAAGTAACGTGTAAAATAGTAAGGCTTTCGTGAGTACCTACATATCTGGAAACAAACAGGATTATTATTTGTTATTACTACTTCAAAAATCTAGTCATATCAAGCAGTATACAGATACGACAAGCAAGCAACAAGACGTGTCACTATATTCACTTCAAACATTTAGGACTTGAAATTTAGAACAGAAATCTAAAAAATACTTACAACTGATATTACATTCTCCTTTAGCTCGAATGAAGAGAAAAGATCATCCCCAATTATGAGACTATCGGTTGTCCCATTGCCTCGAATTACGAACAAAGATGTATGTAGTTGCCGTCGGACAGTATCTACAAGATTATTGTTCGAAAATGACGTTGGGATAGGAAATTTCCCTGAAACCTCCTGGTAGAACGCTTTACCCAGTTTATTTTGTAAACGATGAACAATTCGTTTGTCGGCAAGAAATATGTCAAAAGTGGCAGCCAGTCGACGTTTGGCAGCAAAAGTTTGGTAAGCTACTTTTAGTTCCCGCAGAGGTAAAAATGTTACTTCAGGTGCGTCTAAGTGAGAAAGTTCGGACTTTTTCAAATCCATGTTCCAACGCCGTTTCCAAGATTCTGTAGTGCGTTCATAATCATCTTTGCGAAAATCTTTAACTATCAAACAGATAGATAAATTTGTTGAACGATGTGGTAAGTTTACACGAATAATTTTTGGGATGGATAATTTGCTTATTACTACAAGATGTACACTGTTAGGAATTAAGTTTAGAGTTTTGAGTTTCCCTTCAGGTTTCTTGAAACTAATATCTGTGATGTTATTTAAATTTTCTTTGATAACATCCATCTAAAAAGGATAAAACTGGGTGATTAATCACTGTATATCAGAACCCAAGGAGAAATAACTACTATTATAGCTAGAAACGAAAACCGGCCGTCCAAATTTGTTACGGTTACAATTGACAAAAAGCTGAGTGGAAAGACAATTCCACCAAGCTGGTCACGATCACAGATAGTTTAGATTAAAGATGCTGTCCTATCGTCATAACAGTAAAAGAATTGGAGCAACCAATTTCAAACCAAGAATATTGACTTCAGTAGTTGCATAATCCTTGACGAAGTCCCGAGAACCTAATAAGAGAAAACCAGACTGTTTCTAGACCTGAACTTAAATTCATTGATCAAGTATGTTTACTGACAATTAACTTAGGTTGTATTCCAAGATCTAATGCCTGCGTGTGACCATGTTATTCAACCAGTTTTATGACTATCTGAAAGGTGTGCAAAGTACGTTGACCATCAAAATGCTCTACTCTTACGTTTTCAAATGGAAACATGGAACTTTTCTGAAATCTTTGTATTGAAAACGACTATTAGAAACGGCTGTTGGCCTAGATAAAATGCTTTGAACTATCACTACTCGAAATGTACTTCAATACATAAAATACAATAACCTGCCATGCGTCCAGGGTAGTAAAGGGAATGGTAAAAATTAGTACTCTACTCAGTAAAATATGGTGTCCTGAACAAATAAGGTGAAAAAACCACACGCAAAACATGAGACCGACTGTATTAAAAATGGGGTTCTTCGCAAAATTCGGCCCCATGTGCCTCGTTTCAATCCGTTTCTATTCCTGGGTTCAAATATACTGATGGATATTACTGATCAATATATTGCAAGTTCGCACATTTCTATGAGCAGCTTGGTTTTTGAGTGACGTTCTAAATACTGCGACTAATGCAGATATTTTGGTATTGGCGGAGTGAGTCGCCGCGACCACCACTTACTGTAACGAGCTATACGAAAAATGCGCAGTGAAGCAAGCCTTCAATCCAATATCTTATATCTTTTTCATGAGCTCGTATAACCAACTGATCTGTTTGCGCTCATTTCTTACTGTTTCAGTAAGACTCCAGGCATTTGGCAACGTCCACTGAGGTTATTCTAACCATTCGACTGCACTAATTCTAGTCAGTGTGGTAGTCATTTGTGAATTGATATATCTTGTAATTTGAGTGAGTGCATTCACCTCAGGGAAGTAGGGTTTATGGGTTCCATCTTCTGTCTCACTGATAGGCAAAAGATTTGGTCAGTTACAGTTTTAAAATAATAGTGGTAATTCCAGTGCTAAGAGAAGACCCTTGTCTCACGAACAAATACATAAGTTAATTAATTAATGATACAGACATCGTGAGAAGACTGAATCAGAAGAATAAAAGTTGAAATGGAGATGACAATAAGCGAGCTGGTAAGCGGTTCCTGACGTACGGTAATGATAAATATGGTTAATTATGAGATATGCATCAGACACAGCTAGTCCAAGAGGGATATGTTAATCTATGGGTGAGTATATGTTTGTCAATTCGGGAGGGAAAGCATTCCAAATGAGTGATACTCTTAATAAGAAAAAGTAGGAGCTCCTTGATGTGCAATCCTTTTAACGTTTAGTGTTGATGTTTCGCCAGTATGTTCGTTTTGGGGTGGTTTGTCGTACTCAATATGTTGTATGTCATTGATGATGTCACAGGTATTCAGTGTTTGACAACGCTTCTACCAGTAACACCTTCTAATATATTTCGTTCCCGCCCAGAGAAATCAAAAGACAGAGTCGAGGAGATCGGAAGAGTATATTTGGCGATGACCAATATATCGGAATTCTCTGATCTAATCTGGCTAGCGATTGCGGTTGATGTTGAGCACGGCGTTACCACACGTGATCTGGTGCGGATGCCTGACCGAGCGCCTTCAGCTAGGTGAGTCCACTAAAACATATGGTCAGCATCCAATGTCGAAAACTTAGTGCTATTTATTTTGGGGATTTATTTACCGCTACAGATCACTCCCCCCCTAGTGGGGCAGTGACGACCCTAAGACGTGGCCAGCCAGAAGTTTAAACCCAACGAGTTTGTCGTTGGTAAACACTTCTCTGATAGCTTACTAAATTTAGCAGCGTCTGGTCGTCTTTCCTTACTATATGGGACGGAGGTACAACATAGTAAAAAAAGAAAATGTACATGGAAAATTTCGGATCCTCATAAACGTCATCGTTCTTTTCCAGCCGTCCTGGAAAAGGAAAAAAAATGTAAGTGCATGTCGAAAATACACTCGTATGTGCGTAAAAACACAATGTCGGCGGAAAAAAAATGGAAAATAAACTCATGAACACGTAATAGCGTTAAAAAAATTGTTTTTTTTGTTTTTTTTTAAATAGAAATAAAAATATATAAGCATATTAAAATTGTTTTTTTTTTAAAAATAATATAAAATGTCGAGAAGTGCCTTACGTGCAATAGTCGTTTAAATGTTCTGGAAATCTCACCCTTCTTCCAGAACGCGTCGTTTTAAGTTTATTTTCGGATACTGTCGAAGTATCATCGTGTGTGTTGGTTGTCGGATGAGGTATTATAAGTGTCGGAGTCGTGTCGTTCGATTGTACCGAAGGAAAATCCACGTGGATAGGATTTCCTTCTAAATACGCTGCTTTTAAGCGATCGATACTGATGCTATCGTTGGTTCCGTTCTTATCGACTATATAGTACTTAGATTCACGTTGAAGAACTTTGAAGGGTCCTTCGTATGCTGATTCGAAGGGTCGTCGATGCGAGTCTCGACGAACGAAAACGTGTGTACTATATCGTAAGTCAGGTTGAACGAAAACATCAGTTGATTGAGGTCGAGTGGAAGCAGGTTTAACTGAACGCATTGCGTTTGTAAGCTTGTTCGCGTAGGATGTTAGATCCATGTTCATTGAAGAGGATGAAGGATCCACGAATTCTCCTGGAAGTCGAAGTGTCGTACCATAAACGAGTTGAGACGCAGTGTATCCAATGTCAGCTTTCACTGCATTGCGGATACCTAGTAAGACGAGTGGAAGAGCGTCAGTCCACTGTGAAACGTTTGCAGCTGATAGCGAAGCTTTCAGTTGTCGGTGAAAACGTTCTACCAACCCGTTTGCTTGTGGATGGTAGGCGGTCGTTCGGAAGCGAGTGATTCCTAAAAGTGTGGTCAGACGACGGAAAAGATCGGATTCAAACTGACGTCCGCGGTCTGTAGTGATGGTTGAAGGGCAACCGAAGTTTGCTACCCATCGTTCGACGAAGGTGCGGGCCACTGTTTCAGCAGTGATGTCCTTGATAGGTACTGCTTCTGGCCATCGAGTGAAACGGTCTACGCAGGTTAAGAGATAAGAGTATCCATTTGCATCTGGTAAAGGTCCTACCAAATCCAGATGAACATGGTCGAAACGAGCATCGGGAGTTTTAAACGAGCCTAAGGGACATTTATTGTGTCTGATAACCTTAGATTTTTGGCAGCTTACACAGGAGCGTGCCCACTCCCTCACTTCTTTATTCATTCCAGGCCAGCAAAACCTTTCTGCTATAAGCTTGATGGTTGCACGAACACCTGGATGCGAAAGTTTGTGCAATGTGTTGAAGACATTGCGTCGATAATGTTTCGGCACGATTGGGCGATCCCTACCTGTAGATGTGTCACAAAGTAAGGTTTCCTTACCCGTTCCCATCTGTTTGATGCGTAGTTTAAGTGTTGTGGACGATAACTCGTGCTGAAGATCACTGTCTTCTTTTTGAAGCTCGGCGAGTTTAAGAAGGTCGATTCCTTGTAAACTGTTCAAGGAAGTTATACGAGATAAAGCGTCTGCAACTACATTGTTTGCTCCAGAGATGTGTTGAATATCTGAAGTAAACTGCGAAATGTAGTCCAGTTGTCGAGACTCACGTGGAGAGTACTTGTCAGAAAGAGAGCTTAACGAGAAAGTGAGCGGTTTATGGTCCGTGAAAAGAGTGAATTCACGGCCTTCGATGTAGTGTTGGAAATGCCGTACAGCACAATACATAGCTAGGAGTTCCCTACCGAATGTGCTGTACCTCGATTCGGTGTCTAGCAACCTTCTTGAGAAAAATGCCAAGGGTTGCCAGGAGTTGTTAACCCATTGTTGTAAGACTCCTCCGATTGCCGAGTCGGATGCGTCTACTGCGATGCTAATGGGTGCTCGGGTGTCCTGATGTGCGAGCATCGTTGCTTTAGCAATCAGTTCCTTAACTGTGGAGAATGCTTTTCGCGCGATGTCGTCCAAATTAATGGATTTTGCATTTCCACGAAGTTGGTCGGTCAGAGGTTTCATAAGTAATGCGCATTTCGGTATGAAACGTCTATAGAAACTTACCAGGCCGTTAAACGTGCGTAATTGCTTGACGGTGGTCGGTTCTGGGTAATCCAGAATGGCCGCCACTTTGGTCCTAAGAGGTCGAATGCCTTGAGCATCGATAGTGTGTCCTAGGAAGTCTAACGAGTCGGTTCCGAATTGGCATTTCTGAACGTTTACAGTTATGCCATGTTTTTGAAGTCGTTCGAAAACAAGATCCAGATGCTTGAGATGTGTTTCTCTGTCCGGACTTGCGATTAGACAGTCGTCAACATACGCGTGTACGAAATTGAGACCTCGAAAAACGTCGTCTATGAATCTTTGGAATGTTTGAGCAGCATTCCTTAGACCGAAAGGCATTCGCAAAAATTCATAGAGTCCGAAAGGAGTTATGATAGCTGTTTTCGGTATGTCGTCAGTAGCCATAGGGATTTGGTTATACGCTTTAACCAAGTCGATTTTCGAAAAGACAGTTGTACCTTTCAAGGTAGCTGTCAAATCGTGAATGTGAGGCAACGGGTAACGATCGGGAGTGGGTTTCGCGTTCAATCGCCGATAGTCACCAGTTGGACGCCAATCGTTGCTGTCCTTTTTAGGGACCATGTGCAACGGAGATGCATATGGGCTACTTGACGGTCGTATGATTCCTAAGTCCATCATGTGATCGAATTCGTTTTTCGCTAACCTTAGCTTTTCCGGAGCTAGTCGTCGTGCTTTAGAGAATACAGGTGGTCCTGTAGTCGTGATGTGATGTGTAACATTGCTGGTTACACACGGTAGTTTCGGTTGAGTTTGTTGTATCCCAGGGTACTTATCGAGTAGTGGTTGATAGAGTGGGTCTATCATATGTTTAACTGTGACTGGGGATACTCTACAACCAGTAAAAGAAGTTACGCAAACGGACAAATTAGTGTTTCCGTCTACTAGCCTCCGTTTGCGCGTGTCGATGATCAGATTGTGGTGTTGTAGAAGGTCCATACCAATGATTGGCATAGAAACATCTGCAACAACGAAAATCCAGTGGATGGGTTTGCGTAAACCCACGTTAAGGTAAACGTACCTTTTGCCATACGTAGCGATCGGTTTTCCGTTTGCCGCCTGTAAGTTTAGGGTCGATTCGTGTAGTCGGTCGTTAGGATTTGCTGGGAGAACGCTAACTTCTGCGCCAGTGTCGACGAGGTAGCGAACTCTCGTTGTCACATCTGTGACGAATAACAGACGGCTTTGTTCGCCGGCTACGGTTGCCGTTAACGCGTGCCGGCTTGGAAGTTTCCCGAATTGCTTTTCGAATCAGTCGGTTTCGTGTTGGGAAAATTGCAGGGTTTTCTGCAATTTCTGGAAAGCTTTCCATACTGGTTATGATACCAGCACCAGTCGGGGTTATCTGTCTCTCGTGGTCTAGAGACAGATCGCTTACGAGAAATGCTTCTACGTGGTGTGCGCGATCTCTTACGGTCGTTACGAAGACTAAGATAACGCGTGAGTGTGTGACATAAGTCGTTTATATCATTCTGAGTCGCTTGAGGTTTTTCTTTGACTGAAAATACCTCGGTAGTAGATTTCGTAATTTCTAATATGCGGTCGGCAGATGCAGCTAGCTCGTCTAAGGCATTGTTCTGGAACGAGACCAGAACTGCTTGCACCTGTTGGGGAAGTTTTGACAAGAAGAGTTGTTTGAATAGGCCTTCGTCGAAAGTTCTTGGGCCTATTACCTCTCTCATCCGTTGCAACATGTCTGTCGCAGAACCATGTTGCAGGTCGATATTGTTGAAGAGTTGATCTAACCTTTGTCGATCGGTTAGGTCTCCTCGTTTAAGAATCGAGCGTTTTAAGATTTCGTAAGGATCGGAAACATCACTAGTAAACATACTAGGTGTTACGTACCTGTTGAATTCGCGCGGTAGTGCCTTGACTACTGCGAGGAATTGTGCACGTGTGTCGATCACGCCGTGCTCGGAGAAGTCGGCTTCTGCGTAGCAAAACCAGGCTTCGATGTTG